TACACCTTCTCTGTGCTTGGCTTTAATTAGCCTGGTCTAATTAAGAGTGTAAATGATGGCTTAACGAGTGCTTGCTTTGTGCTCAGCCTGAGAAGGCCTTGCCCCAGCCATTGATCCAGACATGGGTATGTTTCCTGCTGGTTTAGCACCTTGTGAGGACTGGGCCATGCTGGAGCCATTAATTATTAATTTCCTAATCAATCTCCATCCATCTGCCACGGGTGCCTGACTTGCCTTTAACGCAAGGCCACAAAAATGGATGTAATTCCCGTTTAAATTCCCTGGAGCAGCAGGGCCGGGTGTTGTGACCCGCTGTAATTCCAAGAGCACTTTGTCACTGGCGCCGTTGGCTTCCAGGGCAGTTCTGAAATCCAGGGATGCAGCAGCACCGCTCCCACACGGAAGCCTCTGAATGGGAGCCCCTTTCCCAAGGCTGCAGCTGCGGCGTGAATGGGAGCGCGGCGGATTCCCTCGGATCAGTAGAGCCTTGTTCTGCGAGCGGAGGAGCTCCCGGGGGCTCTGCCGCTCTCTTTGTCCCCTGCCAAGCCCAGCCTGACTCCGAAACACGGGATTGGCGCTCAGAAAACCCGACTTCCAAAGGGCAGTGGAGATGCAGAGCCCTTAGGACGCGGAGTCGTTCCCGTTGTGTTTGCGTGCTCCAGGCAAGTTTTGGGAATATTTCCCAGAGCTTGCTGTTGTTCAGTAGTGATTTTTGTTATTCCTAATGGAGTCCAAGGAAAGGTTCCCCTGGAAATGTTGGCTGGCTGAGGCTCTGCTGGGTTGGAGGTTGTGTTTGGGAGAAGCTTTGCTGGCCAAAGCTCCATGGCTGAGTGTTCCCCTCGTTAATCCTGGAAGTCATCTCGGACAGACCTGGGCTTGGGAAGTGGCTTTGAGAGTGATAACAGACCCCATTTAGTCCTGCTTCCGTCTGGCAGGGATGGTTTCCTTGCATTTGGAATTCTTGGAATTGATGGGATTTCATACGTGAGCCTCTCCTGTGTCTCTGTGAGTTTTGGTGTTGGGGGATGGTGCTGGCTCTGAGGCTTAAATTCCCAAACTAGGATTGAGTCTAACTCAATAAAATCCATCACTTTTAATTCCACGTGGCAACCCTGGGATCAGTCCAGGCTGGGGGATGAAGGGGTTGAGATCAGCTCTGGAAGAAAAACTGGGGAATGCTGGTGGGTGAGATTGTGGCCATCCCAGAATCCCCCAAAGCCCTGGGCTGATCCCTCAGCGTGGGCAGCGGGAAAGGTGGGAATTCTGCCCCTCTGCCCCACTCAGGTGAGACCCCACCTACAGGGCTGCTCCATCCCTGGGGACAGAGCAGGATCTGGAGCTGCTGGAGAGAGCCCAGAGGAATCCATGGAGCTGCTCCAGGGCTGGAGTCCCTCTGGAGCCAGGATGGGAGAGCTGGGAATGTTCCCCTGGAGAGGAGAAGGATCCAGGGAGAGCTCAGAGCCCCTTGCAGGGCCTGAAGGGGCTCCAGGAGAGCTGGAGAGGGACTGGGGACAAGGGATGGAGGGACAGGACACAGGGAATGGCTCCCAGTGCCAGAGGGCAGGGATGGATGGGAGATTGGCAATTGGGAATTGCTGGCTGGGCTGGAATTGCCAGAGCAGCTGTGGCTGCCCCTGGATCCCTGGCAGTGCCCAAGGCCAGGCTGGACATTGGGGCTGGAGCAGCCGGGGACAGTGGGAGCTGTCCCTGCCATGGCAGGGGTCGCACTGGGTGGGATTTAATGTCCTTCCAACCTGAAGCGTTCCAGGATTCCATGATTCCCTGTCTCTAGCTCCCCATTCTTTTCTCCTGTAGCAGGGAAATATCAATATAAAGCCTCATTTGTGAAAATTTGGAATATTGGCAATATTCCCTTCCCAAGAGGGGTTTGACCCTTTATCTGTTGCACTGAATCCTGTTTGCTGAGAAACTCAACAACCTTCCTGAATTTCTTAATATTCTTCGGATTAAATCCAGCTTGCTGTGGCCGTGGCTACAGAAATCCAGGGATTTCTGTTTGCTTTTTTTTGGGGATTGGAGCTGAAAGTGAAACTTGTGGTGTAAATAAAGGGAAACTGCTGTATCCAAACCCTCATTTCCATGTACTCTCTGTTTGGAGTGCTGGGATGAAAGGGATGTGTCCCAGCCTTTTTATCCGATCCCACTTTGTTCCTGAAGGATGGCAGAAAGGGCTCCCTTTCATTTGCAGGATTATGGAAATGGCCCCACCGGCTTGGGTTGACATTGGTGCTTTTATCTTTCGCTTCAAGTTTTGAAGGATTATCCATGGTTCCCGTGTTCCCTGTCTCGAGATTTGATGGGAAGTGAGAGCAAAGAGCAGCTCCTTGCTGGAGTTGTTCAGGAAAAATGATGAAACGCAGGAAGGAGGAAGGGAGAGGGAAATAGGTGCCAGCTGGTTGTTGGTGATGGCACCACAGGTTCTGGTTGTACCTGGATCCCCGGTTTTGTCACCTTCTCCCAAAAAAAGCCTCCTTTGGCAGAAGACATGGCACAATTCCCAGTTTCCCAGTTGGAATCCCAAACTGGGGATCCATCAGCTGCTGGAGGCATCAGCTGGTGGAAGAAGAGCTCAGAGGATGTGAGCAAAGAGACCCTGGCACAGCTGGCAGAGCCGACTGCTTTGCGGTCTGGATTTTTAGCCATGAACCCAATTCCTTCGGTTTTAAATTACCTGAGCCAGGAATTCATGCTGGGAAGGACTTGAGGAATCCAAAACTGGGAGGAACTGGAAGAGAGGATTGGATTGTGAATCTCTGCTCTCCTAAGGAGTTTCCTTCTGGTGACCAAGGACCGGACTGAGGGAGTGGCTGGAGCTGTGTCAGGGAGGGATGGGATGGACAGCAGGGAAAGGTTCCACTATTCCAGAGGGTGCTGGCTCCCCAGGGAATGGTGACATTCCTGAGGCTGCCGGAGCTCCAGGAGCGTTTGGGCAGCGCTGCCAGGGATGCCCAGGCTGGGATTGTTGGGGGGTCTGGGCAGGGCTTGGAGCTGGATCCATGATTCCTGTGGGATCTGGATATTCTATGAATATGATGTTCCCAGTTCTCTCAGTGCCAGGCCAGGTACAAAGGATGCTCTTCCCATTTTTTTGTTCCCACTTCCAAATACAAACAAATTCCTCCTGGGTGAAGCCCAAATATAGAAAACTCTGATTTTATGGCTGATTCTTGTATTTGCCTCTAGTGCTTGGTTTGTATTCCTTTAATATTGAAATAAGATTCCCATCTAAAGCAGAACACCTGGGAATATCTCCCTGTAATAACAAGGATAGGGATGTGATTTTGGAATGTAACATTTTTATTGCCTTTCCCTTTTTATTACCACTTTTGTTGGCATTCTTAGCCCAGAGTGTCAATCCTTCACCTTTATTCCTGGGTTTTTTTTTTTTTTGGAATTGTTGCTTTTACTGGCCTAGCAATGGATATTTTCACATTGGTTCATCATTTATGCAGCTTAAGGGATGCCTCGGAGCAAAGCCTGGATCCAGCAAGGGTGGATCCCTCACCACAGGGGACTCAGGATGTCACAGCCCAGAGTGTGATCTTATATTTATATTTATATTTATATTTATATTTATATTTATATTTATATTTATATTTATATTTATATTTACATTTATATTTACATTTACATTTGTATTTGTATTTGTATTTGTATTTGTATTTGTATTTGTATTTATATTAATATTTATTTATATGTATATTTATTCATATTTTTATATATTTATATTTTAGTATTTTTAGTATTTTTAGTATTTTTAGTATTTTTATTTATATATTGATATCATTTATCTTTCTATTGTTAATATTAGTTAATATTGTTTATATTCTTTATAATTTAGTTATATCCATCTTCTCCAATGAATTGCTGCCCTGTCCCTTATTATTGAGCATTTGCTCCTCTTCTATCACGTGGAAATATTTCATGGAAAAGGAGAGACAAGAAAAGAGAATTAAATTTAATCACTTCTTTCTGAGATCAGCATCTCCCCATCAACCTGTGCTGACTGCTCCCACTTCACCTGGCCATAGGATTTTATGGGAATTTTATGAGAATTATGGGAATTAGGCGCGAACTGCAGGTTGTGCATCCCAGAGAGGGAAAAATGCCTCTCTCTGGGATTGTTCAGTCTCTCCATGTGCAAAGGGATGATGTCCCAAGGGAGATGCCTCACTGGATTCAAACTCCAGGGATCCATCCTCGTTGGCAGCCCAATTCCCAGGGGTTCATTGGGGAGAAGGTGGATGAGTGGCAGGATCTGACTTGAGGAGAACAGGCTTCTCATGCCAAAGAAGTTCTTTACTAATTCCTTTTTCCAAGATTTCCAATCCATTGTGCTGGCACCTGTCCCACACATGACACGTTCAGTCCCAAACGTGGCTTTTGGGCTGTCCCTCCATGCATCCCTGCTCCCATCAATCCATCAATCCCTACCTGCCTCTTCATGCCCAGGGAATGTGGCTGCCTCTGGATCCCTGGCAGTGTCCAAGGCCAGATTGGACAGGGCTTGGAGCAGCCTGGGACAGTGGAAGGCGTCCCTGTCCATGGCAAGGGGTGGCACTGGATGGGATTTAAGGTCCCTCCCAACCCAAACCATTCCAGGATTTTGTGATTCCATGGCTGTAACTCTCCCTGCTTTTATCTCCTTCTCCTTTCCTGGAACAACCAGTCAGGGCTGAAACAAGAAACCAGGGAGTGCCAGGACACAGGGAATGGATTCCCACTGCCAGAGGGCAAGGATGGATGGGATACAGGGTAGAAATTCCTGTCTGGGAGGGTGGGGAGGCCCTGGCACAGGTGCCCAGTGCAGCTGTGGCTGCCCCTGGATCCCTGGAAGTGTCCAGGCCAGGCTGCATGGGGCTTGGAGCAACCTGGGAAAGTGGAATGTGGAACCCCATGGCGGGGGTGGAATGGGATGATCTTTAAGATCCCTTCCATCCCAACCATTCCCTGATTCTGTGATTCCTGTTGTTTTGCAGCATCCCCTTCCATCAAGCTCCTCGTGGACGACCCCATCGTGGTGAACCCTGGCGAAGCCATCACCTTGGTGTGCGTGACCACCGGGGGGGAGCCGGCACCCAGCCTAACGTGGGTGAGGTCTGCGGGGGTCCTGCCCGACAAGACCGTCCTGAATGGGGGCACTCTGACCATTCCCGCCATCACCTCCGAGGATTCCGGCACCTACAGTTGCATCGCCAACAACAACGTCGGTAATCCCGCGAAAAAGTCCACCAACATCATCGTAAGAGGTGAGTTCATTTGGAAAACCATGGACTTTTCTCCTGGAAGGTTATTCCTGTCCTAATCTAGTGAGACAGCATTCAATGTTCAACGTTCAGTGTTCAACGTTTAACAATTCAGCATTCAACATTCAACGTTCAACATGCAATGTTCAACATTTAACAGTTGAATTTCAATGTTCACCATTCAATGTTCAACGTTCAGCGTTCAACATTCAATGTTCAACATTCAACATTCAATATTCAACACTCAACATTCAACGTTCAATGTTCAACATTCAATGTTCAACGTTCAGCGTTCAACATTCAATGTTCAACGTTCAGCGTTCAACATTCAATGTTCAACGTTCAGCGTTCAACATTCAATGTTCAACGTTCAGCGTTCAACATTCAATGTTCAACGTTCAGCGTTCAACATTCAATGTTCAACGTTCAGCGTTCAACATTCAATGTTCAACGTTCAGCGTTCAACATTCAATGTTCAACGTTCAGCGTTCAACATTCAATGTTCAACGTTCAGCGTTCAACATTCAATGTTCAACGTTCAACATTCAATGTTCAACGTTTAACAGTTCAGCATTCAATGTTTGATGTTCAACATTCGACATTCAACATTCAACACTCAACATTCAACGTTCAATGTTCAACATTCAATGTTCAACGTTCAACATTCAATGTTCAGCATTCAACAGTTGATGTTCAAAGTTCAATGTTCAACATTCAACGTTCAGTGTTCAACGTTCAGCATTCAATGTTCAAGGTTCATCGTTCAATGTTCAACGTTCAACATTCAACGTTGTGGGTGTCCTCCATTTCCAGATGGTCCTGGTTGGACTAAATCTTGAAGGTCTCTTTCAACCTTGATCATTCTCTCATTCCAGGATTTCTGGTCATTTCTTAGCGTTGGTTTCCAAGACTTCCAGAGTTCTTGTGCTGGGATCAAAGCCCCGAGGTGGAACAAGGGTGGAGTGGTGCCTTTTTGTGTTGGGGAGATGCAGCAGCTTTTCCGTGCAAAGTGAAGAGAAATTGGTTTGCTCAGTCTGGAGGGGACTGAGGGGAGACCTCGCTGTGGTCTTCATCATCCTCCTGAGGACCAGCTCTGATTTATTGTCCCTGTGACCAGGGACAGGAGCCAGGGAGCAGCTGGATCTGGGCCAGGGGGGGTCAGGCTGGAGATCAGGGAAGGCTCTTCCCCCAGAGGGTGGAATGAGCTCTGGAAAAGCTCCCCAGGGAATGGGCACGGCCCCGAGGCTGCTGGAGCTCCAGGAGCGTTTGGGCAGTGCTGCCAGGGATGCCCAGGCTGGGATTGTTGGGGGGTCTGGGCAGGGACAGGATTGGACTCCATGATCCTTGTTGACCCTTCCAATTTAGGATATTCCAGGTTTCTATAAAATGATCACCAAAGTTCTTGGATGCATCCTGTGCTCCTGGAATTCCCTTCCTTCCTCCTTATTTGAAGCTGTTACTGAAATTAAGGCTGGGAATGTCCTCCCAGGTGGGGAGCTTTAGATGGATCCCTGTGCTTTAATTCCCAGAGATATCAGGAAAAGTGTCGGTCTGAGGTGAAAATAAAAGAGGAGAGTTTGCCCAACAGTTGTTCCCAGCTGGAAGGAATCTTTCCCTGCTCGTTTATTCCCTTCTGGAAAATCCCTGGGACACAGGCAGTTGGTTTGGATACAGAGCTGGATTGGCATCATCAGAGGGGATTCACCTCCCTGAACCAAACGCTTCGTCTGAACCTCATTTTCCACAATTTAATCTGGGAATGGTGGTGAAACACAAACTCCAAGCTGTAGGAACTTGAAAGAATAACCTGGGATTAATCAGACCAGGGAAAAACTGATGGATAAAGAGCCAGTGTGGGAATATTCTAGGGGAGCCACAACCCCTGCTCACTTCTTATTCCCCAGCAGGACAAGGAATTAGGAGCTATTTCTGTCCTGGGGGTCAGGTGGGAGCATTGGATCAGCCTGGATTGGATCAGGAGATAGGCACAGATTTGTTTGGAATACAGTGTTTGAATTTCTGACATTTTGCTCCGAGTTCTGTTGTCATTCCTCGGCTCAGGAACATTAATTTGCTGGGATTTCCACAGGGGTGAGGTAGGGAAGGGGAATTGGGAGCGGAAAACAGCTTGGCATAAGGGTAAGAGGACAAGAACTTGGTGTGAAAAGAAACCTCAGTGTTTTAATTGACCCAGCAGACAGCACCAGCCAGCCCCGAGGAAAAGCCACATCCCCAAATCCCTGCAGACACAAATCCCATGAGACATGGCATCATAATAAAAATCATAATTATATCCCCCTCACATTTTTATTTATAGAAGACGATGCCTGGGAGCTGCAAGACGTTGAACAAAGTCTCATTAAAACACTCGAGGATATTTCCCTTTTTCCTCTCTGCTCTGTGGCCCTGTTAATGCTGAGAAGGGTCCACAATGAGAAGAACCCATTAAATAAACAAAGCTCAGCTCCTTCCTAGCCCCAGTTTTATTATTTCCCCCCTTATTATTTCTGTTAAATGGGGAAAACTCTCCTTTAGAAGGAAAAAATGTCCATTCCAGTCTTGGATTTATCTTTGCTGGAAGTGATGCTGAGTTGAGGAGTGAAATACGAGAGAAAAGCAGAGTTTGGGTTGACTTTGTGTGTTTATTTCTCAGCATTTTGCCTCATTTTTCTCTCACTTTGGCTCATTTTGCTGTTGTGGGTCAGGATTTTCACACAGCAGCTGAGGAGAGAAGAGAATTTGCTGGAAATAGAAACTTCCGAGCCAGGCAGGAGAAGCATTTGGTAAATGGAGCTCCCATCTTGTGTCAGATGCACCCCGAATCCCAGGATTTGAAAATAATCCCCCAATCTGACCCAGAAAAAAAGGTTCCATTTCCTCAGAGCACCAGCAGGGTTCCGAAATTTCTCTAAATTTCAGTGTCCTTTTCCGAGTGTGTCTTTGTTGTCTCTGCTTCATTCCATGAATGAAGCATCTCCATGAATTTTTTCTGGATGTTTTCCTATTTTTGTGGCTGCTGGCCACCCACACCTGACTTCAGAGGTGGAGACGGACTTGGGACAAGGAAGGTGTGGAGCTGCTGGAGGAATCCACGGAGCTGCTCCAGGGCTGGAGCCCCTCTGGCGCCAGCCTGGAAGAGCTGGGAATGTTCACCTGGAGAGGAGAAGGATCCAGGGAGAGCTCAGAGCCCCTTGCAGGGCCTGAAGGGGCTCCAGGAGAGCTGGAGAGGGACTGGGGACAAGGGATGGAGGGACAGGACACAGGGAATGGCTCCCAGTGCCAGAGGGCAGGGATGGATGGGAGATTGGGAATTGGGAATTGCTGGCTGGGCTGGAATTGCCAGAGCAGCTGTGGCTGCCCCTGGATCCCTGGCAGTGCCCAAGGCCAGGCTGGACATTGGGGCTGGAGCAGCCTGGGACAGTGGGAGGGGTCCCTGCCCATGGCAGGGGTGGCACTGGGTGGGATTTAATGTCCTTCCAACCCAAACCATTCCAGGATTCTCTGATTCCAAGGTGGATCCTCCATCCAGTAAGAGAGGAAAATGCTGGATAATATCTTTGAAGGATACCTGCACATCAGACTGGGACAGGGAGAGCCACAGAAACGTTTTCCAGGGCTTAAAATCAAGAGCATTGGCAGAGTTGGGAAGGGTTTCAGTCTGTGTGAAAATCATGGAACCATGGAATTGTTGAGGTTGGAAAAGTCCTCCAAGACCATCGAGTCCAACCATCCCCCAGCACTGCCCCATGTCCCTGAGTGCCACATCCACAGGGCTTCAAATCCCGGCAGGAATGGGGGCTCCATCCCATTCCTGGACATTCTGTTCCACTTATTCCCTCCTGAGCGACCTCTCCAATTCCCATTTTTATCGGATCCCTCCTTCTTTCCCACTGTAGCAGCAGCACGTTTTTAATTCCATTGGACTCTGCCTGTGGGACTTTCATCTTTTGGGAAGTGGAAACCTCATCCTCGAAGTGAATTTTTCCGAGGGGTGGGATTCCCTGTCAGTTGAAATAGAAAATAATGACCGTGCTCAACAGCGGCACAAAAGCTCTTCCCGAACAAAAAGCACTCCAGGGAAATCCCTTTTAAGGCCAGGATTTCTGGAAGTAACTCTGGATTATCCCTCTAAAATCTGTGTGTGAACTGCAGGCGTGGCTGCTAAAAAAAAAAAATAAATTAAGGAATAAAAATAGAAGAAGGAAGCTCAGATTGGGAAATTATTGAACTTTTGTTGCTTTTTAAATTAAATTAAAACCCTAGGGTTTTGTTCTCCACACCTGCCTTCCTTCTGCTTTCCTGTTCCTTATCCCAAAACTTTTTGATGGTCGTCCCCCAGCAGGTCACTCCTGGCAGGAGGGTGAGCGATGGCACACCTGGCCTTGTGGTCACTGCCAGGAATCTTCTGGGACTGGCTGGGAATTCTAATACCCTAAAATGTTGGATTTTCGGTGAAACTGGCACAAGGAGCTTTTTCCCATTCGTTCTTTCCTCTCCGTATCTTAGGAAGGGCTCCCAGGAAGCAGAACTGAATGAATTTCGGGATGTGGGTCTGGCACATGTTGTCACTGCCTGGAATCATCTGGGAATAGTTGGGAATGCTAAAATCCTCAAATGTTGGGTTTTCTGTGGAATTGGCAGAAGGTTTTTGGGGTTTTTTTTTCCCATCCTTTTTTCTTTTTGTATTCTGGAAAAAGTTCCCAGCAAGTGGGAGAATGGAATAAATTTAGGGATGGGGGTCTGGCACGTGCAGTCACTGCCTGGAATCATCTGGGCTTGGTTGGGAATTCTAAAATCCTAAAATGTTGGATTTTCTATGAAATTGGAGAAGGAGGGGTTTTTTTTGCCATCCGTTTTTCCCTCTCTGTATCCTGGGAAAAACTCCCAGCAAGTGGGAGAAATTTTGGGATGTGGGCCCACGGTGGCCTTGGCAGTGCTGGGATAACACCTTGGCTTGATGATCTCTGAGGGCTTTTCCAGCCTTAATAATTCTGATTTTCCAT